TATGGAAAATAGAAGTCTAATTCGAGAAGTAATCAAGGCAAACTCTAAAGAAATAAGCACGGTATTACAAGTTCCAATCAGCGCTTGCATTGTGCAATTGCTCAGGATTGCCAGATCGGGTTAACCGATTGAAGTATGGAGGCACCCTCAACGATACTTTCTTAACAAGTTCAACATAAAGTTGAACTTAATTGAAGTTCAACATTAAGTTCAAGAAGAAAACCTTCGCGTTTGTGTTGATATCCAGTGGATAGAAAAAGTAAATTGAGACCTACCTTCGGATCAGTTCCAGGTGGCGTCAATGCAATTCCAGAAAAAAGGCTCTCAATAACTTCCTTAGATAAGATCTCAGCGTCACTTTCACAAGAAACTGGGTCGTTACTTATACTTTCAGGCGTCGGAGCTAAAACTCAATTACAAAACCGAACATCGACATTCAAAAACAGTTCAATTTCACATCAACCAACCGCGGAAGCACTGGTCGAAACTGACAAAGTGGCCACTATCACCAATAAAATTTTCACGCCTATTTCTAGCAGGTTCAAAGAACTCTTCGGAGTCAAAGGGAACTCCTTCAGCAGTGAGGCCTGCAAAGTAAACACGACATTCAAGAAGCATGATCATACAAAACCGTTTTCAACGCAAGACTAAATACCTAATTTAACTTTTGTGCTATATGCATAAACATGTAGTTTCCTTGAGCGGTACCTTGATAAAGTTTGAACCAAAGTAGTTATAGTTATTGAGTAACCGCTGAACGCAAATTTCACAAAACAATTGCTAAAACTATTAACTAACCGCAAGGACTATAAAGAACATCCATCGCTAGACTACAAAATTTTGTCAGAAATTCGCCTCGCAAGAAATAGTTGACAAAAAATTGCTGGTACATCCCACTGTTTGTAACCTACCCATATATAAAGTGATGCGAAAAAGTTTTTTTTACTATTAAAAACTGTGTCAACGATCACGAAATAGAATCAAGTTTAATGAGAAGATAATGAACGGATTGTCCGTGACTATTCTCGTTAGAGGCCGCACAGATATTGCCTGTTCAAAATTGTATGTCACACAAGATACCACACCCTTCGTATGAGCCAATAAGGTCATGCGGCAGTAATGCTACGAGATCTCGAAAGCGTAGATGTGTAAGCAAGCCATCCGAAAAGTCTGCGTCATTCTATCAAGT